AACAACCAAAGCCATGATATATATTCAATTTATATAGGATCCCGTTTATCTCAATCAAAAACGTAAGCAGTGATCGGTAGAGGATAGCACTTGGTGACGACTAATCTATATATCACGCATAGTTTCTTTGATCAAAAGTTTAGCGGCAGCCAGTTCAGCCCTTCGCTCACGAATCGCCTTGAGTGCTCCTTCGTACTGATCTGAATGCGCTAATTGCAAAAGGCCGCTCTGTTAGGATATCAGTTATATTACCAATACCTTACAGAATAAACACAGGACAAATAAAGGAATGGTTATGTTAATAGCGAAAAAATAAGGTCCAAAATTCATCGATTTCGCTGCTGGGATGCACCCCTGTACTCGAGTTCTATTCAGACTTGTCCAGGAGTACTGGTCAGTATGAGGTCCATACAAAGAACTTTCCCAGATGAGTATTAAGCCAGTCAAGCAATCCCGGAGGGTTGGAGGGCTCGTCGGCTTGGATTGGTATCGATAAGGAATTTGATCCTCGGACCATACCTATGTGATAGTGCAGCACACCTCCGCCAATATATTGGGGAATCAAAATAATCATTCTATAAAAAACTACGAGCTGATCTTTCCGAACATAAAAAAGAAAAATAACGGAGAAGTACTCAGTTATTTACAGAACCCATCTCTAAGGGGAACAGGATAAATGACACGCCCCAGTTAAAGAAGTAAAGCGCTCCGATTGAAAAAGAACAGAGGCGGTACCCAAAAAGCATTAATCAAGGCGACCCAGCCTCATAGCACCTGTTAAGTCCATGAGAAGTAGTGATAAGAAAAACTCACTTTGGACGTCTATCTTGGCTCGTTCAATATCTCGCTTGGACACTCTGAAATTAACGTGCGAACAATGGAATAAGTGTGAATAAATAAAAATCTTCAATGAGTTTAAAAACCTTTTCCCAGGTTCATAACACTTAAGGCTGTCACGAACAACGGCAGTCGCAGCTGTTACCAGAGCATTCTGCAAGGTATCCATCAAAGAAGTCAAAATTAATGTTTGTAACCAGATATAACTGGGGAAAAAATCCAGAAATATTGAAAAATTAATTACTATCGATTTTACTTCACAGAAGCACTTGATTCAACGCAGTTTTCACTTTATGTCAAATAAAAAATAGTGCGAAAATAAATTCAAAAAACTGTAAAAGAGAATGGATCCTGATTAAAAGAGAAATAGATCTGTAATGTGAGTGGAACAAAGAGACTGCTATGAATAGCAATCACATGATCACAAACCGCCAAGAAGTTCTACAAAATCTATACAATGTATACAATATCTCGACAGTTTTGCAGTCACCATAAAATTTCACTCTTTCAAAGGGTACATTCGTTACGATTCACGTGGTTTAGTGCCAAGTGGCGCACTATATCATATGCATGGGGATCGAATTCTAGCTGGTTACTCACCATGGCCAACGATGCATTCGCAACTTGCTCGGATAAATGATACCAAACAGGTCTGGGAGGAGAAGAGCTTCAAACTGTATATCGGCTGGTTACCGCAAGTCATTGTTAAGCCACATATACATTAAACCCTGAATGGTAGTAGAGGGGAATGCATTTCAAAATGCGATCGATCAATGCTAAAGTTTATATCCATTGAAATTTATATTTGTAACCAATCAGGCAGCCGACTTTGGTCGAACGCTCTCAATACCAGGCATTTGGAGAGAGGAGTTATAACTAAGCCTGCCAAGGAAATGGTCGAGCCATCTTATCTAACAATAACGTTCATATATGAAAATCTTATCTTGCACCTAGGTAAAAAAACGAATCATTCAGCCAGCCGCCGAACGAAAAAGGAACGGATGCAGTTCGAGGGCGAGCAAGAATCAAAATACCAACATTGATCCTTGAGTCATAGAAAGTGAAAAAACAACGGCGCGTGTGCTAATTACTGCTAATAAACTCTTGCTTCCGCCTTCTGAACTATTTATTGACGTATTGATGAGGAAAACAGGTATCGATCAAACACGCAAAAAATCAATATCAGCTTTTCTTTTAGAGAAAATAACAGGGTTCTCGAAAATTTTCTGAAAAGGAACATATTTGGAAAGATCTTTTTTTCAGAATGGATCTATTTCTTTAAAAACCTTTCACATGCGAGCTTTGCCTATAGAACTCGCTACCCTTGAAACTCTCAAAATCAGGTGGACCCAGCAAACTGATCCAGTTCAAGTAAATTTAATAGCACCTACATCCAATTGATACGTAAAATTGAATTGATTCGTTAAGCAAGTGTACCCATACCTCATTCGGAATAGAAACGCCGGGAATCCCGTAACGCATACATAGCGAATTCATTTGAAATTCGCTGAGTTCACAGTCCGAGGACAACTTTGGTCGATGAGACGGCATCTGGAACCACTCGAACATTCCAGACAATCAATGCACCAAGCAAATACAAATGCAAATGAATAAAACTGCATAGAATGGGCTGGGCATGAAAAACTTTCTAAACATACAGCCCTTACAAACATAAACGAAACGATAATGGACCACTGAATCGAAACCGCAGGGCGGATTTCGTTGCGGGACCGACGTGCAACCCAAATGACGTTCCCCTCATCTTCCCGTACTCGTCATGTTACTACGGGTGTTTTAAAATATCTAATATCTCTCAAATAAGCTCCAAGGGTCTAGAAGTTCACCAACAGTTCCTTGGGATGCGAGGGGATTCTCTGTCATTGACTTCAGTCCTCTATCATACGTATTACATTACTGAATAGTTTGTCAAAACTTACAGATCTGTACCAGAGGTTCTGTCGCATGGGGAAAGTTTTGAACTACGAAATACTGCCGGAAATCAGTGATTAGTTTCGGATTAGGGCGCTGTGTGTTCGATTGGAGCGTGATTGATCACCGGTACGGACAGTTCTCGCCACGTTGCTGTACCAATCTGCTCATAAAAGCTGAGGATTCGAATTTTCCTGATTTGTTCAAAAACAATGGTCACCATACCTTTTTAGCCTTATTGGAAGAAGGCCAATTTGCCCAACATTTTCGGCTTGTATCATATTGTTATTCATGGAAAACTTGAGTATCACCCGTTAATGACGCGATCGTGTTAACCGATTGGAGACTGGGTCTAAAATTTGCAAAGTATCAGTTGCATCGAGCTGTTCCCGACATCTTGAGCTTCACCGTTGCCGCATCGCATTAAACACGAGTGCGGCGATCGATGCAGTGCGAAAGTCACGGTACCAGGACCGGGCAGCTTAGATGGCTCCGACTCGTCCGGCATCTTTTTGCGTTGATGGCTGCAACTCGTCCGGCATCTTTTTGCGTTAACTGACTGGATACCGTTATTATCAAATTGAATGAGTACTACTCGGTCGGTTATTGGTCATCTCGTGGATCGCAGCAGTAGGTGCTGCAAAATGATTATACAAAAACTTCATTCTTATCTGTCCCCTCGACGGATATGAATCGATGAGATAGGACTATGGTCACTCCAGGTCACATTCTTTCTGTAATATAGGCGTGTTCTGAGACGAATAAGACGAGAGGTCGTGAACAATCGTCATTATGCTGAAATGAAGTCTCGGACACAAAGTTCATCGAGTTGTCAAAAGAACTTTTAAGGAGCCCTGTCGGTGGCTATGCTGAGAATTAACGTTCGTAGGCTCTTTGGCTCATAACTCTCATGTTGAAATCGGTCCTGTGAAAACCTTAACATCAGCGACCACACATTTCCTGATCAAAGCCCGAAGTTCACCAATAGTCCGAGAAAATTTGAATTTCAATGCCCGTACATGAGCTCTGCTGATTGACACTGCATAGTGAAATTGCGTTCAGTAACGTCTGCCCCAGCATTCTACCCATTTTTTTTTGAATGTTCCAAGTTCTGTGAAGGGATAGCAAAATGGTTTTTGGACTATGTGGGTCGTCTTGAACTGATTGATCTCCTCGTTCATCCCAATACCTAATGATTGCAGATTTTTTGGGACCCGCTACAGTTTCTCTCTTTCCTATCCTTCATTTCCCAGATCTAAAAACTATTTTCTGTTTTTCCCCCTTTCCAAATTTAGCTGAATCATTTATGATCTCCTACTGCTCATAATGAAAACGGAAACACTAGAATCAGAGGCACTTGTGCAAACCGCTGGTATTGTACTCGTACAGATACGATTTTCTTACTTCATATGCATTATTCAAGTCCGTCAAAGGAAAATATGTTTACAGTACNCTACAGTTTCTCTCTTTCCTATCCTTCATTTCCCAGATCTAATAACTATTTTCTGTTTTTTCCCCCTTTCCAAATTTAGCTGAATCATTTATGATCTCCTACTGCTCATAATGAAAACGGAAACACTAGAGGCAATGGCACTAGTGCAAACCGCTGGTATTGTACTCGTACAGATACGATTTTCTTACTTCATATGCATTATTCAAGTCCGTCAAAGGAAAATATGTTTACAGTACGGTTATACTCATAGCGGGCCATCGAAAGCCGTTACCTTGCAACAAATACGGGAGTCACAACATCATCAACATTTTATCACGTTCTACCTTCATTTCTACAATATTTGCAATGAAAATATCCTCCTACATGTGTGTACCCAAACTAGTCATGTGTATATCCCAACTTGTCGTCCGAAAAGTTGGTTATTTGTTAATAATAGACTCCTTCTTCCGGTCCGGATAGCATCATGCGTGCTGCTATGTAAGAACAGAGGTACCGTAATCTACCGTAATCCGACTCACTTGCAATTGCACTTGTAAGGCATTTCTTGAACGTTTGTCCCCTTGTTCATTGGGATTGAGAAATGTGGTGGGTTTTCCCTCATATTCTAGGCTCTATAGAAGCTAAAAATGGAGATATTCTATAAATTCCGTCGTGGATAGAGAGTTTGGGTCAAATTTTAAGAAATCGCTGTACTTGCTCAGTACTGCTCCAGCAGCTCCAGTTCTACTCTATAAAAAATGTTTTTGGAAAATACTACGTTTAGAATGGTTTTTCAGTGGGTATGGCTTCTTCACGTGCATTCGAAATGCTGTGTATAGTCCTTCTTGGACTAGGTCAGATGTGTATCTTTACGGGATACGATTCTCAGGTAATTCTTGGAAACTCCTTCTCTCCCTCCGATCTATATGCTCTATTACTCGGAGGCTTTGACTATACGATTAGAAAACTGATCGAACCGCTCACAGGTCAACCGTAAGTTGCATTCTTTTGCGTGTTCATCAGCGGTTTTCCCTTGACATAACCATTGGAAGATTTCAAAGGGGAACACTTACCCATCTGATCATTTGCTGAAACCCCCATTCCAATACCCTCACTACTCTAAAAGTTTCTGAACGCTACTACTCCCCATGTTCAATTTCCCTGTTTCCAAGTAATAGAATATCAGCTCCCATACCGATGTTTAGCAGAAAACAAAAAGGGAACAGAGGTCCATTGCTAAAGCACTGCTGAACCGTTTTGAGCTAAGCCCTTACAGTCTTTCGTCGCCGAATCGGTGCTGCACTCAGTGAACAGCCGCGAACCAACCCGTATTGATGGATTCGCTGGATACTACGGGTATGAAACATTTTATCAGATTGGACCTTTCTAAAACTTGATTCAGCTATCATTACCTTTTTAGGCAGGCCACATGCTATGCTGCTTATATGACCGCTTGCCTGTTTGCTCCATCAATACTGAGAATTTTGTCGGCGAAGTGGACTCTTTTCTTCGGCTCTGTCTGCTTTACTGTTTATCAAATAGGATTTTTATATTTGAACAACATCTACTACTATACTTCATGCGCTGTGATGGGTATGGGATTTGCATGTAAGTTCAATTATCATCAGTTAGGGACTTCTACTGCCCTTAGCCTTTCGGATACTCTGAGAAATCCTTTCTTGACTGTAAAAGCTGTGCTTCCTCCCATGGCTGACCGATGATTCCCGACAAGTTCAGTTATCACTCTGAACTAGCGACAATCAACTTACTGGGATATCCCCTTGTGTCGGCTTGGCTCAGGTTTACCCGAATCTTCTGTGAGCCCCAGAAAGAAAAAGTGGTGTTTAAACGCATGATCTGATCTCACAATCTCTGATCTCTGATCTCTTGTCAGTGTAGTAAAACTGCATGGTTTCTTTGATCTTTCAAGGACTGAAGTCCTCTGCTGAGATAAATATTGGGTTGTAACATAAGATCCTAGAGTTTTTTCACAAAGATTTATCTGAACCAAAAAACAATAATTATAATAATAAATTAATCAATGATGTATCCTCCGTTACTGTTCACGACCTCTTCCCATCTCTCGACCAATTTGTTGATGGCGATTCGCCGAAAATCGGCCGTTGTGGTGTTGAAGAATTTGTTGAGCCAGTTTTTAAGGTCCCCTTCGCCATCGAAGGTAACACCCCTCATTGGGTTTAACATAGAGCGGAAAAGGTGATAGTCGGCAGGTGCAAGATCCGGAGAGTGCGGTGGATGCTGAGGAACCTCCCATTCTAGCTTTTGGAGTGTTGTTTTGACGACTTGAGCAATATGGGGCCTGGTGTTGTCGTGGAGCAAGATGACTTGACCACCTCTATGAGGTCTTTTCAGCCGAACAGCCTCACTTACACTGTTCAGCTGGGTAATGTAGACCTCCTTGTTGGCAGTGGCGTTTCGTTCGAGCAGTTTCCCAGTGCACCATGCCTACCCAGTCCCACCAAACCCAGATCATGACCTTTTTTTTGGGTGAAGATCTTGCTTGACTCTCGGCTTTGGCGCCTTCCCTGGGGCCACCCACACCTTTCAGTAGACACGCCTAAGACACCTTTCCCGTACACACTGCATATGTCCCGAGCGGTTTCGGCTGCTTTTTTGACCTCAGCGAGAATCATAGGAAAGCAGATGTCGAAAATGCTAAATTTTTCTTCGTGGATATTCCATTTCTGAGCCCGAAAAAAGACGAACAATTTAATTATCCTAAAAACGAATAAAACAGTTTTGTAGAGGAGAAAGAGCTCTTTCAAATGAATGTATACACTTTGCTAAAAAACAAAATAGCTCGTTGTAAAATAACTCTAACGCAAAACTCTACGAACTTATGTTACAACCCAATATTTAACGGCATTTTCCAGTGTACTACTGTGGTCACGGAGCATACCTAACATCGCATTCCACAAAAAAGACACTCGAACAAAACTCGGCCATAGCGTGGACGATAGCGTGCTTATGGTAATTATTTATTTGAAAATCTCAACTCTCAGTCAAAATAAGTAGTAATGCTTAGGGAAACCTACTGATATAGTTACAACTGCCAAATATTCCAGTATGATTGTTGGAAGTGGAATATTGGCAGGGGTTTTCTCCATGAACACAAACCCCGTGGTTCCTGTGGAACTATGGACGAATGTGACCGATAATCTACCAAAACATGGAGGTGCCTATCGTCAATTCACCGAGCACGAAATTCGACTGATGTACGGTGCATTCGCCGTAGTGACCTTCTGTGCAAATCTGATTTTTGCTTTTACACCATCACGTGAAGTCGATGACTGTATCGAAGGGAAACACACAAAAGTTCAGGAAACCACCTTTAGAGAAGAAATGAGTAGGTGGTTCTCCAGTTTTGTGATCACATAACCAATTCAGGAACCTTGAAATTCAGATCTGATTCGAAATATCTTTATCGACAAACGAATGATTATTCTGACGCCTCTGTTCATTCATCTAGGACTCTACACCTCATTTTGGGTGTCCGTTTATCCAACTTCATTGGTATTCACCAAATCCCTTTCTGCACATATTTATCTACCAGCTTACTATAGTGCAGCTGTTGGTATCGGAGAGGTTGCCAGTAAGTGCAGTACAGTTCGGATTACAAATTTAAAGCAAAATATTCTGACCGGAGCAGGGCGCATATGGTTTCATTCCCGTAGCATAAATAAAGAGGCATGTGAAAACCACAGGAGAAAACTGAGCAAAGTAAAAGTTAAGTTTTTCTGAGGGGAATTGAACGGCCGATGAAGAGTCTTGCTTTGTGGATTCCCTGTGTGTACTGTACTATGTTATGCCTGAGAGAGTAAGAATTGACGGGCAGTGAGCTCTCGCTAAGAAAGTTATTGTGTTCACCTTGGATGGTGCTATTTCCGATTCAAATGAGAGTTCCTCACGAATGACACTGGGCCGACCGAATGCTTGTTCCTTTCATTTTGGAAGCTAGCCGTGAAATTAGTTTTTACTGGAATCTTGCTGAAAAATCTATTGAGTCGTTTCTCGAAGATTCAAGAGTCAGGGGTAATGAGGAAAACACGAAAGTAGTGAAGAGGCTTCATCAAAGAGATTATATTTTTGTAGTGGGAGTGATCATCAGCACGATGTCCAAGCGAATCAAAGGATTCGGTCTTGAACCAACCATGTTCATCGCATTTGGCCTCACCACTTGCCTAATGACAGTTATTCTGATGTCAGTACCAAAATGGGCAACGGTTCGGCTTACAGATGAACCGTCGTGGATTATTCAACCACAGTACGTTTCGTGTTCATTACAATACTTTAACTTTATCAAATAACTATCAGCTTGGGCTTATTTTAGTGTGCTTTTGTCAACGGTCATTGCATTCTTTATTGGCATGGCGGATTCATGTGTGAATAACCTCAGAAATATAATTTGTGCATTGGCACTACCTGACAAAAGAGCTCAAGCTTTCGCTATTTCGAAGTTTTATCAGGTTTGCCGAATACTTGTTTGAACAACTGTAGGGGTGGTAAAATACATGGCTCAATAACACACCTCTTGAAGAAATCTCTGGCAGGTTATGGATGGATATCAAGTTTTTGGAATACTCTAAGGAGTAGTAGCGTCTTCACCTTGTCCTGAGTTTTTAGGGTTGGAAAGTAGCTAGTCAAACACCACCCCAGCCAAAGAAAAGATTCTAGAAAGTTTGGAAATAATAAAAGAAATGGGTTCAATACTCCATTACTGACGGATAGAAAGGGTGTGTGCAACATTGGCTGCTTTCATAGTCCGCGACGTAGCCCGCACGTCCGGGGGCGGCGCTTGCCCCTTGTGTACAACTGAATCTTGGTCGTTACCGCCGGACGAGTAGTCCCCTGGCCGGCTCGCACGCCCGCTCGCGAACTATGAAGGCTGCCTTTGAGTTCAATCAGTTCATACCATGGGGAGATTCCTAGTTAGTTGCCCTGCTGCATGATGCCTTGTTTCAGTTGGCAGTCATGGTTAGATGACTTGCTAGGCATTCTTACGCTTGAGTCCATTACTCACCGTCTCAGGGACACTGAGGTAGCCCGGTCGCGTGTAACTGTCGTTCTCATTGATGGCATAGGATTTTGCTCCAATTGCTTGCTATTCATCGGTTTTCTGATGAATTTCGCATCCCTTGCTTGGAGACTCGTCGGGAACTTTCTCCTTAACTTTCTAGTAATAGTTATAGAAAATCTCAACTTATGCTTTTGGAACATGACGTTTTTAGGCATTGGCTGGTGCTACCTTGATGTACATCAGCCCTTATCTGTCCATCCTACACTATTCTGCAATACTATTCTGTACAATATCTCTGTCAACGATTTGTTTCGTTCGTATGGCCAGAAAGATGAAAGCAGAGGAACTTCGAACGAAAAAAATTGCTCCATCGGATTACAGCTCGAGCGAGAAGTTCTGAGAATGAATGAATAATGAATACCGACTTAATTTTTGGAGACGTGTTTTGCTCTGAGAGGTTCTAGAAGAAGCGATACATTTGCTAACATTTCTACGACTACGAATCGTGCCGATTTAGCTTTTTCTGAAAATCAAGAAGTTCCGAATGATTTAAGAGTTGTTTATTGATTAGTTGCGCCTTTTTGGCTTTCACAAACTCAACTTCTCTGAATATTGCCCAAAAATAAGTGCATGTGTAAAGGCAGGATGATATAAACAATGACTGAAGCATGCTGGAAGGAACTCTATTCTATGGAACCACCTACAATCTATTTTGCACGGATCTCAGGTGCGGTACCGAATCATCTTCGTCGATTTCATTTGTCTTTGTAGCTTGTGGGGAACGCGTTGGTAAGCTTTTGGATGGCTGTGGCACCGATCCATTTGGAGTGCTGATATTCGGCTTCTTTGTTGACCACTTCGAGAGTGACGCTTTGCCTGAACAGCTGCCCTGCTTTCTCGAGAAATAATGAAAGACAACTAAACACGTTTCAGATGGACATTGAAATGAGCAGACGCAAAAATATCTATTGTTCAATCCTTTATTATCAGTTCCACGCCCTCCATTCATTGGAGAAGTGTGGAAGAGGCTAGTTTTGGAAGAGACCCTAACCAGTAGTTCAGAATCGAGTCACTCCTTATTAAATTGCATGTATTCGTATGAAAAGCAGGGGTCATCCACAAGTTGATCCCAGGCTCCACCTTGTCTGTGGGTAGCGAAGCATTTAGTGCCGTCCCACTGAGACCCCCAAGATCAACTTAAGTAAACAGAGATTGGACCGAGATTTATTTGGCAACTTTAGGGGCCGGGAGGTATGTCGTGGAAAGGGGACCTCCCCACTTGCACTTTCGCTCTCCGACAATCGAATACCCTATCTGAATAATCCGAGATCGACCCACTACTGGAAACGACAGATGGGCCAACAGTATCGTTCCGTGACTCAAAAGCAAGTCAAGTATCTCTGCCAATGTCTAGTCATTCATCATTTCAAAGTCTAGCCACCATAGGACTCAAAATTCTAAAAATGGAAGCTACTATTTCTACTAGTAGCCTCTTCATTATTGCTTCATCTTCAGTAATCTAAAAACGTACGTTTGAACTCTTCAACAGTCTCCAAACGGCGTCTTTGTCCGGCCTTCAGTTCATCAGAGTACCTTTCGACAATGCAAAGAGCCAGTTCTAGGCCTTCGACTCCCTCGCAACTGTCCAGTGTGTCGCCTTCGATACTGCTATGGGAAGAGCTTCTCAGTCAACATTTTACCACTAACAATTAAATAGAGACCTTGAGCAATGTGTAAAAAAGCTTACTTTTTTAGAGGAGTATCAATTTGCTCATCGTTTTTCACGACTTTGCCGAAAACAGTCAAAGGTGCGATAACTAAACGAACGAGGGAAACCGAGGTGGTCTTCAAATTGTGGCAGTACAAATAAGACAAGGCTTACCCAGTGTGAAACGAATTAGGAGAGATGTCATCGAGCCGATTTTCGAACAGACTCGCCATGTTTTTATACAGGTATGAGTAACGAGGTTAAGTAAACTACAATTAGAGCGCGTCCATGAAATGAGGTTAGGTAAGAGTATTACTACAATTCGCGATCATAGGTTAACTACGGTCAAAAGAAGTCAGACCTCTCCCTCGTACCTGTACCACCCATTACATGAAATCAAATGCTAGGTCTGTATGGTATGAATCAATCACAAAAGTCTCCTCCACCGAAAAGCTACGTGTAGTTTAGGAACTCTCCTATAGACTCGACCAGATTCGGAAGTTGGTAGAGCTTCAAAATACTCGTGGCAATCGAGCCCAAAGTATTGCGGTACTAGTAAGAGAATCATCAATTACTTTGATCTCTATTCATCTAATTTTACAGAGTGAAGAGATCATGTTTAAAAAACATCATTAGCAACGCTATGTCGGAAGTCACAAGTTAATCATTCTCAGGAAAACCGCAGTGCACTTGTAAGACGATACTCTCCTGAGCACAAAGCCCTTGTCGCCATATCTGCCATCCTTTTGAGGACTGCTCAGTGTTGTAGGTGTAGAACCTAAAATCCATTCACTTATTGGCCCAATTATTCATTTATCTGACAATTTATAATATCTTTTTACTAGGCCGGTTTTCACTTTTTTCATCTATAATGTTACGCAGTTCAACTCAGCTCCACACTGTTGAAGCATCCGCTCTCCAAGCGTTCCATTCACCTACCCACCAATTCACTGCTCCACCAAAAGAAGGAAGTGTAGGATAGACCTAGGTTTTCCATATCACTACCTTTATCGTAATCATAAACTTCTCGGACGGACAGACATACAAACCGACAAACCTACAAACCTACAAACCGACACACCAAATTTCTGCTTTATAAGTAAGAAGGATACACGAAGGTCTGATTTGTAGCACAGGAACAGAAATGACATGGAAGTAACAAATCATCCCGAGCACTATCAAAATCGAGATTAGGTGATTCGAAGGGAATGCTATTCAAAAAAAATTCCAAAGGTTTTAAGGTTCATGTTACGAACCTTATGCATTTCCGATTCGTTGTAGGGCTTTTGGAAATGACGGAGTCCCGGTCAGCTCCTTCACATTTGATATCACATAGGTGACGAGCCTCTGCTAAAAAGCTCTGCATGATTAATCATAAGAGCTTCAATTAGAATCCACTGACTCTCCAAGGGAAAATAAAATTTTCTTTGGACCGGTTAGAAAGAAGTGGGCCGTCTTTCCGATAAAGCTCGGTGATCACGGAGAGGAAGCAAATCGAAGAACGAAGAAATCTGATGTGAGATTAGGAAATGAAAAGCGTCGAGCATTCCTGTAAGGGCTTTGCCTCAATCTACGTTAATCTCTTTTGACATTTCTCCCCAAGGATTTTCGCCCATTGAAGCGATGGGGAAACGATGGATTCCCCGTACTAATCTGCAATTTGATATCAATGAATTGTTCATAGAGGAGCCCCTTTTCCGAACTTATCATAAAGTTCTTACTATCCTCTCTTAGAGGAAATCTGAGTTCAGAGCGTTGACCGGCAGGGAAGAAGGGAGGGCTCGCTTTGTGTTCACCTCCAACTATACTACGAGAGCTACGTTTTCACAAAAACAGGTGGGAAGCTTACCGTTCAGGGTGCAGTCAGCTTTAGTGAATGAATCATTTCGTACTGCTAATTCGCAATCGTCAACGTTACACTTCAATGTTCGCTCTTCTGAAAAAACTTGGTAAATATATTACAAAAATGTACAAGTGATTTATACAGAGGAATATCTCACTTCTAGGTTAACGCTTGTAATTTCAAAGTCAATTTCGGAAAAGTGACAAAAAATCTGGTACGTCTAAACTGACCCCAACGTATGACACATGAAACAAGAAGAAGGGCATTGAGGAGGCCGGCAATTCGTAGCATTCTTTTGAGGCCGTTTGTTGTTGAGACACATTGCATACGCTTGACCCAGATAGATTAAGAACTTTTTCGGGCGTCAAAACTGACCCTCTAGTAGGCACTCCGGCAACTCCGACAAAGGCGAGGATGATTATGTAATTATATTAAAAAATATGTACTTTTATCTGGTTGCAGGGCAAAAGTGTCGATGGGTAGCGATGAAATCGAGAGAATCTGCAGACCCAGAATATAAGACTTCATTAGACGGACTGTTCCCATGGTTGGACGGGCTTATGACGAAGAGGATGAGGTTTGGACGAGTTTTCAGGAGGAACAGAGCAAAGTGCGTTGAGTACGAACAGGAAACGGGGTCTGTAAAATAGCAAGGCACCCACATGGCTCAGCTAAATACTCAGCCTCTCTTGAGGCTGATTGGAAGAATTGAAGGAAATGCGAGAATTAAGTTCTGGTACACCCGTAGCCCACGAACTATCGCTGTATACATTAAAGTAATCCAGATACATGTTATCAATCGATATCTTATCACCGTCCTAGTATTCGTGATAAAAGATATTATTAAGTGTGCTGATGGGGGAGAGTTCATTTTGCTATGCACACTTATAAAAGGAGGTGGCTTTACGCTATTAAATGTGAGTGCTACTTACATACCGGCCCCAGTAGGTACCAACAAATACCCACGGTTAGCAGCCGATGTCCTCTTATTTGATAGAGTCTTCACACCTCACTAAGTCGTCTTTGTATCTTCATAAAATCATTCTGTTGTCTAGCTAACGTCCTTGTAACTTGCAATGTCGTTGTTTCAGACGACCTGTTAAGAGGGGAGCACAGGAAGAGCAAAAGCGCTCTGAGAAGTGCGGGTACGCTTCACGTTTTATCTATTCAGACTTAGTGAGACGAGAGGTGGCTATCCACTTATCCATTTCAGTTATAACGGCGGTTTTTTTGCTGACCACGTGCATGTTGATGTTATATGCTTTCCCCAGGTACGATTTTAGTTCAAATAAAGTGAAGAGGCAATTTATTACGACGCTCATCGATCCACTTTGTGGGATGGATAGGCGCCAGTCTGCTCGGACGGCTTCGGAAGGATGTGATGCTTAGGTGGCTTGGACGGTCATAACACCACCATCCCCCCCTCCCCGCAACCCCACCTCTGGGTACACATAGTGGGAAACAACCTCAGAAAGGACTATTGAAAAGCTACAAAAGTAGTATAAAACATCTCACTCAGTTTGTAACATTCAAGTTCTCAGTGTTTCACAGAAGGTGAATGGCCTTCCTTGTCCAGATTGATGGTTGAAGTCCACATACTTTTCTCTATAGAAAGTTTGAAGGGCTCGAAGAACAGAACAAGATGGACTTCAAAGTCCTG